CTGCGCTGGTGGACCTGATGGTGTTTGTTTTGCATCATTTAAACTCTTTTATAAATAGCTGTCTCTTATGTAAAGTGTAATCATCTCCTACTTTTTGCTGTTTATTGTTGGCAAGTCTCTTGGGAGCTAGAAAAGAATAGTTCTCCATTTTGAAAAATGATTTTTTCCCCTACAACTAGCTCTTTTTCCTTCCCTCCCCACTCAGTATATCTTCTGAGGGCTCAATGGTATGTGCTTACAGGGTCTGTTTTGATTATGCCCCTGAGCCAAAAAGAGTTTTGCCAGGATGCTGAATGGCTAGATAAATAAATTGTTTCAGATGTCAATAACTATGGCTAACATTTGTTGAACATGTACTGCTAGGCAAACGCTGAGCTTCCTATAGCATCATTCCATTTAATTCTCATACTCACTTTTGGAGGCTGATATATTATTTGCATTTTATACACAGTGGAACTGAGGTAGAGAGGGGTTAAATAACTTGTCTAGGCTACACTCGTAGTGAGTGGCAACAGTATAAATAGAGCAACATTTTCCTAACTCCAAATTCAGGTTTATTGCAATTTTGGTGCCCTGTAAATGGATTATATTCTTTTTTAAAAATATATATATTTTATTGATTTTTTTTTACAGAGAAGAAGGGAGAGGGATAGAGAGTTAGAAACATCGATGAGAGAGATCGATCAGCTGCCTCCTGCACGCCCCCCACTGGGGATGTGCCCGCAACCAAGGTACATGCCCTTGACCGGAATCAAACCTGGGACCCTTCAGTCTGCAGGCCGACGCTCTATCCACTGAGCCAAACCGGTTCGGCGGATTATGTTCTTAAAGTCCTATTTTCCATAGGTCCTCTACATATTTCATTAGTACTCTTGGCAAATAAATGGTACACTAAATAAAACATTTATTTCAAGACATTTTTCTTGACTGTCTTGTTCCTCCCATTAAATTATATGCACTAAGGAAGGAACAGGCTTCTTAGAATTGGGAGCACATTTCCCACCAGATGAGTCAAGATTTGCAGCTATAACTGTAGTACTTGACAGCACTGCTTAATAAGAAGATTTAAATCCACCCACTACTTTATACTCAATAAAGACCACACCATCCCTTAAAGGTAAGACAGTGTGAAAAAATAGTAATGTAACTATTCCTTGGTGGGTATTCGTTAGAGATGAGCATTATGAGCTCATTACATTAGTTAATTTAGATTATTAACACAAGTTAAATTCAATTTGGTACTTCTAACAAAAATCCAGGGATATGAATGGGAGAAATAATAATAATGTATACAAACAATGAAAAAAATTAAGCCGTGACATATCTTAAAGATATTTATTTTCATTTACTTATTCTAATATTCATCTGGAGTCAGAGAGATATGACACTGTGTGTGACTTTGGGCAAGTTACATAACCTTCCTAGGCCTCAGTTTCCTCATGTTTAAAATGGGGATAATAATAGTGCCTGACTTACAGGGTTATTGTGAAGATTAAATGAGATAAGGCATATGAAGCACTTGGTGATCACCAAGCAAGAGTAAGTGCTTGTCTTAGTCTGCAGAATAGCACCAACAGGGCAATTTAAACAACAGAAGTTTATTTTCTCACAGTTCTGGAGGCTAGAAGTCCAAGGTCAAGATGCTGTCAGGGTTGGTTTCTGGGGAAGCCGCCTTCCTGGTTGCACACAGCCTCCTTGCTGAGTGCTCACATGGCCTTTCCTCTGTGCATGTGTGGAGAGAGAGTTCTCTGGTGTCTTTACTTAAAATGACATCAGTCTCAGTGGATTAAGGCCCTGTTGTTATGGACTTACTTAACCTTAATAACCTCCTGATAGGCCCTATCGCCAAACACCATTACATTGGCAGTTATGGCTTCAACATATGAATTTTGAGGGGGATACAATTCAGTTCATAGCAGTGCTAAAATAGTATAATGGTTACTTTTTTCATTACTTCATTTTTATTACATACCCACACAGTACACAGGTTTGTCTTGTATGGGAACGAGACCTGGTAAATGTTTTCAAAATGAAGAGATTCCTTGAGAGACTCTCCAGAGCAAAAGTAGTTTAGGAATTGATTGGAGTTATCCGTAGAGTGAGATATTAATTTGATCCCTGGAGATGTGGTGGAGGAGGAGGAGCGGGAGGAGGAGGAGGTGGTGGTGGTGGTGGTGGTATGTGTGCGTGTGTAGCTATTAAGAGAGCACATCACACACCTGGCTGGTGTAGCTCAATGGATGCACCAAGAGGTCACGGGTTTGATTCCCTGTCAGGGCACATGCCTGGGTTGCAGGCTCAATCCTCAGTAGGGGGAGTGCAGGAGGCAGCTGATCAATGATTCTCTCTCATCATTGATGTTTCTATCTATCTCTCCCTCTCTCTTTCTCTCTAAATAAAAAAAAAATCATTTTAAAAAAAGAGAGCACATCACAAATATAATCTTGAAATTATTGACTCACTAGAGTTGAGGTTTTAGGACATCTTGTATGATTAAGGCTCTGATGAAAAGCTAATGCTTCTTTTCTTTCCTAGCACCCGTTTTCCTCCAGTAAAAATGGAGCCAGGCCTGTGAGTTCCCATTTTGGCTGAATTGGAAATATGGAATTGATGCTCAGCTAAATGCCTCCCTCCCCCCTTCATTTTATACATTGCTGTCTTCCTTTGCCTCATCCCATTCCAAGCATCTGACAGGTGGTAGGACTCGCTATCTTGAAGAATCAAGCATCTACTCTAAAGTTCAATGCCTGAATTATTCATTTGGATTCTGGCATTTGGGGGTCATTTTGCTGACCACCAAAGATTGACAACACGGAGCAAATGTTAGCAAGACGACAGGCTTTGGCTTCTAAGTCAAAGCAATTTTGAAAGCAAGTCCCAATCTTAAAAGAGCTCTTTCCAAAGCTTAGAAGTGACAGGCTGCCTGGGGGGAAATCTGCACTGCTGGGCAGAGCCACCTGCATTTCCATGCAGAATTATTTCGAAAGTTTTTTTTTCTCCCTTCTTCTGTTGGCAGGACATTAGTCATCATAATAAAGATCTGGTATTTACCAGATCCTTTTAAACAAATAATCTGGAAGGAATAGGAGGAAATCTGCAATAACTTACAATCAGCTCTTAATTTAGAGCTGTTTAGATTTTTCACAGTCTGCCTGAAATGAGCAATGTTTATAATGAAGTTCAAGACTTCCATAAGCAAACCTGCTTTCCTGAAGGTGACAGCTTGTTCCTGACACTCAGCAACTAAGGCCTGGGATTCATGGCGTTTTCTTAGAGCAGTATCTGGGCATTGGGTCTAAAGTTCTATAGAGAGCTTATGGGGAAAGGACCACTCCCGGGCAAAAGGCCTGTATTCCACGAAGATAACATTTCTGATACATTCACTTCAAGATAGTGAATCCAGATCAATGTCATAGGCTTGAGAAAAAAGAAGAGTAGCAAACAAGGTCCCTAATCCAAGTAGCATGTAAATGAAGAAAGATGACATGGGCCATCAAGACCATATAATAAAGTGCTACACAACCAGAATGCAGAATCATTTCAAGAACTTTATCAAATCAGAAAAAGGAAAGATTGTGAACTGAAATAGAAAAGGTGGGACTTCAGCCAAACATTTTCATTCATTCCACAAATAGCTATTGAATGCTTTCCACATGCAGTCACGAGCTGAGTGGAGGATGGTGATTAAGAGGATATGGTCCCTAGCCTAAGAGAGCTTACGTTCAAAAAAAGGGAGAGAGGCATTTAAACACCTACGAAAGAATTACAGGTTAGAAAAAGGACAATGAGGGAAATAAACAGGATATTTACAGAATAAAACAGAGAGGTAATACTTGGTCAGGCAGAGTCTCTCTTAGGAGGTGACATTTTAGTTCCTATTGGGTGATAGGAAAGACTGAGCCAGAACGACATCCAGAGGAGGAGCATTACTAGATAGGGAACCGCCAGGTGAAGGGTGAGGGTGACGAAGCTTGGGATGACGCGCCTGATCTGAGTTGTGGGAGATGACCCAGAATTACAGATGCTCGGCACGGGGAGAGGGGTGATGTTAAGGAAGAAACTGACTAGCTTAGATCATAGTTCATCCTTCCACCTTTGCCCCTTACTGCTGCTATACCTTCCCCGCAGAAGTCCACTAAATAACATTCTCAGGACTCCTTGAAGCACAGCAAATACAGTGAAATCAAAAGCTGATAGTTGATTGTGTCTATCACCTGATCATTCACAGAGCACGTGCAGATGTGGGAGTATAAGTCTCTACTCTTTTGTTCCTTTTAAAAAGCTTTCATCTTTCCCATCTCTATGAGGAGACAATTTATTGCTACATTATTTGCTTATCATAAAAATGTGAAATGAGCTTTCCTAAAGATAGTGTGTACGTGTGTGTGTGTGTGTGTGTGTGTGTGTGTGTGTGTGTGTGTGTGTGTGTGTGTGTGTGTGTGTGTGTGTGTGTGTGTGTGTGTGTGTGCATGCACGTGTGTGTCAGGCCGTGCATCTCTGAAGTCTGACTTGGGGTGGGCCCCAGCTTCCTTCCCTTGCCTCCTACCATTCACTCATGTGTCAGCTGAGATCTGCCAGAGCCACTCTCTAATGGTTCCCAGGGCTGTGCTTAGGACCATGAAGCCAGGGCAGCCTTTTTCATAGGGGCTCAATGCTGGGAGTCCTTTCTCTTGAAGCTCTGTGAAAATATGACTTTGTTTTAGTGTTTCTGGCCCCCATTCTTTGGAAGCCATTGTGAAGGGCTTTCATCATGGTACTCAGTACTGGCCCACCCAACTCGGTATTGCATCAGCGGAAATTCTGTCCCTAAATCAAGGGTGGTGTATTATTTCAAATATGTCATTAACCAAAAGACCATAGTTCCTCTCACAGTACTATCTTGGGCAGGATACCACCTTGGTCTGTGCTTATTTGCAAACAGCCTCAGGCCCTGAAGTAAAAGAAAGCCTTACCCATTAGATGTGCAGAATTAGACCCATGTCCTCCTAACTTACCCTAAAAGGTGATCTTGAGACATTTTTCTGCAAAGACCACATTCTCTGCTCTTGAGCAAATTGCTTGTTGGACTCCCTTTTTACAAATCAATGAGTTTTGCAGAAAGAATCCATTGCTGTTTTCCTAATGAAAGAGCAGAAGGAAAAAAGGCATGCCAGTTTTTTACAAAAGGTAACCCCTTCAGGATAGAAAATATGGCCTAAGGATGGGAAGAGGTGAGTCACCGGCTCTCTCAAATTCATACAAGGGGGGGACATGCTAATGTTATTAGGATACTAGACACAACTATAAACTTTCTCTGTGGTGTTCAAAGAGGTAAAAATAAACATCAAATTCTAATTATGGACATTTTAAAGCATAACTCAATTATACATAGTCAATATTTTAGAAGGGGATCTTTCTTGTCTCTATACTTAGAAACATAATATATTTTTTGATGAAAATTAAATTGATCATATTATGACTACATTGTTAAGGATGCAGTAAATTGGCAAATATTTACTTCTACCAGTGCCTTTTAAAATCTGAATTTGAAGCTCACAATATTACTTTGATGAAATACACATTCTTTTTATGAGGAACTTCACCTATTTGGGAGAATATTAGCCCATTCTGGGAGTGAAGAATAGAGAGAGCATTCTGTCTTACTTTTCTGGTGAGATTCGGTGAGGTATTTATGACTCACCTCAGCAATCATCTGGGTTAGGAACAGAATTGAACCTAAAAATGTCCAATCTGGGGTATTAGCCATTGGCCAAGAGGAGGTGAGCAGTAAATCAGTGCAGCCCCGTGAAAAGAGATGGAAAGGTGACTGCCTGTGACCACACTGCCCCGCTCAGATCTGTATTGTCAATTATGGCTTCCTGTTGGGCACCTGAGGCTGGAGGCAGCGTTGTCTAACTGCACCCAGTATTAATGGAGTGTACAAGCTTTGCTCATTACGGGGAGATTACCGGATTACCTGAGATAGAAAAAGGGAAGGTCATCGGATCAGCTGATACCAGGTCCAATTTAGGCTTTAAAACTATAACAACTTCCCAGCTTCTAAACAAGCCTATCAGCAACTTTTCTTTTTCAAGGCTAAAGCCACCTTTTCAAGGGCTTCTCAGAATTGAAAGGCAATGAGCTTACAAGCGTTCCAAAGAGTCCATAGTGGTAGGTATCCAAGTTTCAGTTTCCTCGTCTGTAAAATCAGGACAGTATCTACTCAGGGCTGCTGAAGGATTAAATCAGACTGACTAAGTAGAACTCATACTGCTGCCTAGGACAGTGATGGCGAACCTTTTGAGCTCAGCGTGTCAGCATTTTGAAAAACCCTAACTTAACTCTGGTGCCGTGTCACATATAGAAATTTTTTGATATTTGCAACCATAGTAAAACAAAGACTTATATTTTTGATATTTATTTTATATATTTAAATGCCATTTAACAAAGAAAAATCAACCAAAAAAATGAGTTCGCGTGTCACCTCTGACACGCGTGTCCTAGGTTCGCCATCACTGGCCTACGATATAGTGACTCCTCAATAAAATGGAATGATTATTATATACCAGGAATCTTTGGTGCTTTTTTATACTTTATCTCCTTTTTCTGGAAACATAAGTGTTTTCTAAAGAACTTGCTCCCATCTAATTTGTTTCAGACCATGCTATGAACAAAGAAACTTATTCATCCATCCACATACAACAAATGTTTGTTGAGTTCCTCTTATGTTTATTCTGTGCCAGGCATAGTTCCAGGTGCTAAAGCTACAGCAGCGAAAAGGACAGACAAGGTTCCTGCTCCTATAGAATGTAAACTTGTGTAGAAGATACACACCATGAGAAATAGCAGGTAATAATAAATATTGGGAGGGGAAAAGTGAGAGGATAGAGAAGGAATGGTAGAGATGGGGGTTGTCTTGCACAGAGTGGTCAGGCAAAAAGCCTCTGTGCAGGTGACATTTAAGTGAAGACAGGAATAAAAGGAGAGAAGAAGGCCAGTATTTAAGACCAAGAGTACAGGAAGAGCCAAGATTTTGAGGCAGGGAGGAGCTTGGAGTTTTTAAGGAAAAGCAAGAGAGGCTCAAGGTCTTTGTTCACTTCTGCCATAGCTGATTCTTGGCTGGTTTCCCTACCCCAAATCTTACTATAGTCAACTCTCTAAGCAGCAACTAGAGCACTTAAAAAGCAAAACTTGAGAGAGACCAAGATGGCGGCATAGGTAAACACCGGAGACTGCTGCCGCAAACAACCACTTCAAAAATACAACTAAAAGACGGAAACTCTCTAAGCAGCAACTAGAGCACTTAAAAAGCAAAACTTAAATCAGATAATTTTATTTTCCAGATCACAACTCTACAGTGGTTTCCTATCTCACTCAGAAAAAAATCCAAATGCCTCCTGTGGCTTTTCAGGGCCACCCCAAATCATCTGGCCCTGCCTATCTTCTCCAGCGCCATGCTCAGCTAGCCCCTCCTCTCCAGGAGGGAGGGAGGTCAGCACAGTAAGATCCCAGGTAGGAGCTGTGGTAGTCGAGGTGAGAATTGAAGGCTTGAGTGGTAGTATTGAGGTGGGGTGAGTGTTTGACTGGGGATATATTTGAGAGAAATACTGACAGGACTTGCAAAGGATTGGCTGTGGGCTCTGGCATTGTATGTCCTTGGTTTTTCCAAGTTGTCAAGTGTTGTTAATGGCTGCTCCTAGTTTGGACCTCCTGTTTCCCTGGAGGCATTATTTTTCTATAGCTACACATGTAAAACTTGATTTTTGAAATGATAAAACTTACCCCCTTGAAATTTCATCTCTGTGTGACCTCAGGATTGAAGCCAATTCTCTAGAATTATAATGAAATGTCAGCAATGTGAGTGGACATTCTACGGGTGGATTATTCAGGCCCTGGAAGGAAGGGTAGAAAAGAAAAGGGGTAAAAATAAAATAATATTGTTGTTCTGATACAATTTCCTTTTCTTTTTAAAATCTTTATTGTTGAGAGTATTACAGATGTCCCCTCTTTTTGATACAATTTCCATTGAAACAGATAGTGACACTCTTGGCTAAAAAAGAGTTTTGAATTACTTGTGAGTCTATTATTTCTACCGTGGAACTTACTTTACAATGTTGAGAATATGAAGTGAATGAGAATGGTCAACAAACATCCTAGGCCTGGCAATGGCCTCCAAGGGGCCATTTCTTTTCTCACTCTGTTCCATCTGCATTCTTCTTATTGCCATTTCTAGAACATGCCTCCTTGAGTATTTTTTCATTGGCTATTCTTTTTGCCTGGAATTCATCTCTAAGATGCTAAAGTGCTAAGTCACTCAACTGGTTTTAGTCTTGCTAAAAATCTTTCCCTTTCACTAAATCATTAAGTCATACCTTGAGCATTCTATTTAAATTGCACCCAGCTCCCCAACTGTAACCTACGCCCTCACTTCTGATCCCCTTACTCAGTTCTATGTCTTCTATAGCACATCTTCTAATCTATTACATAATTTTTGCATTTTGTTTGGTTATTGTTTGTCTCACTAGATAAAGGTCTATGAGGGCAAAGATTTTTAACCTATTTTGCTCACTGACATAGCTCAAACACCCAGAACAGTGCCTGGCACATATGAGGTACTCAATGAAATTTGTTGAACGGGTGAATGAATGAATGAACTACTATTTTTGTTGTAAACATGGTGAGGTAGGGAATGGAGTGAAAGAAATCTCAGGATGAGGACCTAAACAACATGCCTGCCACAAATTTATACATAACTTCCCACGAGTAGTATTCCTAAGGACTCCCTACTCCCAAAAAAAGTCTCATGGAGAGGGGAAATGGCTGAAATACCCAGCTGTTCCTCAGCTTCCTGGCTTTAAATCTCTGGGGACGAGGGATTCACCCTCAAGGCCTGCTCTAAATTGTTAAATGAGGAAGTAACTCATCCTGAGAGAAACTGCTAAAACAAGGGGTTCAACGGAAGTTGGCACCCTCATTGCCTCTGATTCTTCCCTCTCTGGACCAGGGCCAGAGTCCTAGGAGATGGGGCTGTTAAAATAGTGGGGCTAATAAAAAGCGAAGTCTCAAAGCAGCACTGTTCTGTGGCCTAATAGCTGGGTGTGATGGCTGTGGGGGGAGGATATTTCCCTCCACACCCACTTCGGTTTGGAAACTATGGGCATGTCAAGGAAAAACAGCCTCAGAGGACTAGCAGAGAAGTTGCTCCAAGAATTTCATGCATGTCTTCTGGTAGCTGAGTCATAAGGAGGACTGCTGGGGATATGTGCAATTACACAATGATTTTCCCCTGGGACCACAGTGTGGGGTCAGGAAGACTGCTAGAAGTGGAGGAATGTAGAAGAAACAGTTCTCCAGCCACCTAACTAAGGCGGGGGAGGCCCAAGAACTGGTATGTTATTTCTGTTGCTGGGGCTTTCCTATACTAAGACGGGTGTGCTTTGAGGAAATTCCCATTCAGTCATGCTTATTGCTGGTGGCCACTGTCAGAACAAGGAGAAAATAAAAGAGTTCGAGATACACTTAAAATTGAGGATCTCCAAGTCAAAGAAAGTCTTTCTAGGTTCCTCATCATGTAGCCCGGGCAGTGGCGGAAATGAGCTCCTTCAGTGAGGGGTCTGGCTCGTATTCCTGGTTGCTCTACAAGAAAAATAATCCCAAACCCTCGTGACCTTGGGGACTTAGGGAAGGAGTCAGAGACAGGATCCAGGATCATGCTAGTCCCGATGAGTGTCTCAGTTGTGGGTCCAGGTTGGCGTGGTGGAGACCTGCCCACTGAATTCCAGAAATCACATTTGCAGAATGAAGTTGGTAGCACCAAAAGGAAGGAAAAAAAAGTAAGGAGCCCATTTCTCTGGGACTTCTCAACTTTTCCTTTTCCAGATTTCCCAAAAGGGTATGGAAGGCAGCCCTCTTTCTAGGACTTTGGCATTTTTGTTTCCTCTGGAGAAAATAAAAAAGGCAGTAGGAGAAATTGTTTGGGATTTCCCAAAGTAATACAATTGAAACAAAACTGCACTTTCCCTTCACCCCCTTAGGGAAAGACCCTGAAAGTGAAATATAAGGAAAATAAAATGAGAAATAGAAAAATGTTGAAATAGAACAATATTGAAAATTTAACTCTTTCTTAAGTGCTCATGCAGCAAATTAGAGATCATTTCTGGATCATACATGGGAGAAAACCCAAACTGGTTTGGTTTCTTTCTTTCTTTCTTTTTTTTTAATAAATACGTTTACTTTGTGTTGCTATCATTTAAAAAGAGGACACTCTACTCCCTATTAGTTCCAGTACTTTCCCCTCTGCTCATAATACCTTTGACTGATTAGTATTGTATCAGTGTAAGTGGTGTCATAGCAACACAGACTGACAGCACGAGGCATTGCTGAGTTCCCCTGGGAGCATCGTGGTCCCAAGTTGTACAACTTTGTGAAGAGTGTCAGGAAAGGGAGATGTGGTATTGCAGAAGAATCCCATTCAAACTCACAGGAAGCAGAGTCTTTACAGTAGGAAGGACTGGCCATCTAATAGGGATGGCCTTGATGAGGTTACATATTTTCCCATTTGTTGATAGGACACTATCATCCCAGGGCACCCTAATTGTTTTGGAACAACACCAGGTATAAGCAGAGGGATAAAACGCCCACGTTTTTGTTTTCTCTCCTGGCAGCGACAGCGTGTCTGCAGAGGCCCAGGGGAAGGAGACACAGACTGAGCGGTGTTGCCTTTTGGGCTCTCAAACTATACGTTTGACTTGTGGGCAGTAGTTCTCAACCCTGGTACATCTTATGGATTACGTTGGGAAGAACATTTGAAAATTGTAATTACTGGGTTCCACTCCAGAATTTCAGGGAGGGTGGGGCACTGGCATTTGTATTTTAACAAGCTCCCCAAGTGGCTCTTGGGGAGTCCACGGGTCCAATGTCTAGATAGTCCATTGGTTAAAAGGTTCTCTCTGAGATGTGAGAGATGCTTCTGTGGGATGTGGGATGTGGGATGTGGGATGTGGTGTGTGTGTGCGTGTGCGTGTGTGTGTGTGTGTGTGTGTGTGCACGTGTGCGCATATAGAGATGGAAAGGAGAGGGGTGGAAAGTAGACAGTTATGTCCTGGGATCTATAGAAGGAAGAAAGAACTTCAAGTAGTTCCTGCAGAGCAGTCACCATTTCAGAAATTTCTTGATTCTGGTAAAGAAGAAAAGAAACCCAGAGTAATCTTCATTGCATGGCTACTACGCATTTCATACTGAGCATTCATTTTTTCATTCATGTTCATAAAACACATCCCACATGCCAAGCCCTGTGCTAGGTGTTGGGATTACAAAACGACCATTCTTATCTGGAAGGAGGCCACAGATCCTCATTACCCAGAGAAACATGTACTAGGATGGAGGGGAGCATGAGTTGTTTTGGGAAACTTTGGGAGGGGCTCTTAACACAGACTGGGTGGAGTAAAGGGATGAGTGAGGAAAGTTTTCCAAGAAGAGGTGGCACTTAAACTAGATCTTAGATAATTCTAATTCTAATATTAACTACTGCAAAAGTCCAATATAGTTGGAGCAGAGCGAGTTAGGGGAGGGATAACGGGATGTTAGAGGGGTAGGTTAGGGGATGTTGGAGGTGAGACTGGAGAGGTGGGTGTACAGGGGCCAGGTAATGAGCTGCCTTGCCTTTATCCTGAGTATAGCAGGGATACTGGAGGAGTCAAAGCAGACAACAGCAGGATCACATTTGTGGGTGAGATAGCACATCTGGTGGCAGCACAGAGAATGCAGCAGGAAGGGGGTGAGATGAGAGGGGAACCCAATGGCCTGAGATGAAGCAATGGGAGTGAGGATGAGAGGCAGGAGTAACTGGATTGGAGAGAGAGGAAGTCAAGGATGGTGTCTAAGTTTCTTTTTTGGCAGTTGGATGGATCATGGTGTCACTCATCATTCACTATTTGCTTTAACACAGCTCTTCATTTTGCTTTCATAATAATAAACATGTCATTTTTTTATTAGTTAAGGTATTACAAATGTGTCATCCCCCCCATTAACCCCCAACCTCCCCCCCCTCCCCGCACCCTCATGCTCCCATCCCCCTGTTGTCCATGTCCATTGGGTTGGCTTATATGTGTGTATACAAGTCCTTCGGTTGATCTCTTCCCCTTACCCCCTCCCTCCCCTACTTTCCTTCTGGGGATTGATAGCCTGATCGCTGTTTCTCAGTCTTTGGATCTGTCCCTTTTCATCAGTCTATGTTGTTCTCTATAATCCACAAATAAGTGAGATCATGTGGTATTTATCTTTCTCTGACTGGCTTATTTCAATTAGCATAATGCTCTCCAGTTCCATCCATACATGTCATTTTTAATAGATAAATATAGGAAAGCTCTGAGAAAGCAAACAGAAAAATGGAGGAAAGCTCAAGGTTCCTAGTTTGTAACTTGGGATCCAAATTCAGGTTGGCCTGAGTTCTAAAACCAAGCTTCTAATGCCACAGACAGATGCAAACATAATAAGGCTAAAAGAAGAAGAATATGGCTTTGAGTGGGCTACATTCACAATAGAAACAACATGAGATAAGCTCTGAAAAGCAGAATCCTGGTATCTGAAATTTATTCTTAACTGCAGTTAGCATGGTGAGATATGACCTCCTTTTTGACAAGGTTGTCAATGGTCTCTCTCCTATGCTGTGTAGCCTTTTTATACCTCACTGATGGCAAATGGGATTGAATCAAGATTTTAAAGAGGAAAAAAAATTGCTGTTAAAAATGCCCTTATAAAATAAAAAGTAACATGAGATGCATCTTAATTTTTATCTCAGATTTGCTTATACCACCTCCCAAGTAATTTGTTTAAACAGTTATCTTGCTGGAGGAGTTTAATAAAAATTTAAAAGTTTTGTGATGAAAAAATAGATCTCTACCCAGAATCTTGTAAGGCAGTAATGTGACATGATACTTTAAAGAGAGTACATTGAGTATCTAGGCTCTCTGAGTCAAAGGGTTATGCGGAAGTCCTCATGATGTCAGGCCATTGGCAGAGATGCCACCATTCAAACCTACCTGGGGAATGTATAGATCATCCCTGCAGCCACAGGAACACATCTGGCTATTTCATGGTGCAATATGACCTTGAACTTCTGCTGTTTCTTTGGCTGGAATTAAATGTAGTCTGTGTGGCTACTATTTTTGAAATTACTTTTGCCTCTCAGTTTTGATGAAAGCAGTTTCCTTATTAGACAAATAGAATATTTCCCTACTTAGGACTCTCTGTAACATTTCTAGAATCCACTTTTTCATGCTTTGAGTTGGCTGCATAGTAAAGACAAGTTTGATTTAAATTTGCCTCCTATATTTTTCCCCCAGTGCTTACCTTCAACCAATGTGTCTCCCTACATATACTTTTCTTTTCCCACTCAAAAATGAATGCACCTGCATCAGGAGTTAAATCTGTTGGTTTGAACAACCTGTTGGTTTGTCATTCCCTTTCTTGGGCTTTGACTTGCTGGGGCCTGCAAGGGGCTCCTGACACTTCAGTTTCCCCATCCGTTGGATTGCCTTCACTCACCTTGAGAGATCACTGTGAGGCACAGCTCATAAATGTCATCATAAACTTCTCTGCAAAAATATGTCTCAACATCTGTGATGCCAGATTCAAAAGAGCTTGACTGTGTGTCTCTGGTCAAAAGGAAAACGAGGCAGCCTTTTGATTTTGGGCAGCAGGGTGAGGAGCTGCAGCCTTCTTCGCGTCTGCTATGATGGCCTAGACTGCATTTTCTTCAGCTGTCCTTGCCAGCAGTAAAGTGTTCCAGACTTTGTCCCTACTAACATCAGCCAGCAGGCTTGCAAATCAATTATTTTTTCTTAGTTAGTTGTAAGGGCCTCCTTTCTTCAGTTTTTAAGAGCGGGGATTTTGAGACAGTAACCCCACCCTTCCATAGCAGGTCACGTAAATGCCTAGGCACCACCCTCCCCCCTTGGGCAGTCGGCCCATTATTGCAAGAGAACAATGAGGAGATGGTTCCTTTGCTTCTGCTTCTTTGGCAATGTAGGCAAAGGAGGTGGCTGAAGCCAGACACATTGGCTCCATGCACATGCCCAAGCCTTTTGCAAAGTCTCACCCTGTTGAGCAAGAACGCAACTGTCTCCACGTTAACATCACCAATGACAATGTTATAACTGGATTGGCCACGTTTTTTCATTGAAACCTGGCTTAAAGGGTGTGTCCATGTGTCTGCAAAACATAAGTGAAAAGAACCAAAGGGTAAGAGAGGCAAAAGTGAAATCTCTCCTTTCTTGGCAAAGAAAAAAGATTTCATTTTAGACTAAAGGCAATTACCATGATAGCAGAACAAAGAGCTAGTTTGAGACACTAACCAATCACTTAAATATAGAGGTTTAGGTCTATGAAACTCTGTCATGTATAAACTATCTAGCTAACTGTTAATTTATCATTCAGATCAAATGTGTTTTCTACCATCATTTTCAAATTCTTCTGCTGAGTTACAACTTTGCCACACCTACTATTGCATGAATTTTTCTGCCTCCTTGCCTTTGTGCCCGAGGTTCTCTCTACTTGTAATGCCCTTCCAGTCTTTTTACACCAGAGGAATGCACATTCACTTTCTAAGTTCTGACTCCAAGATCTTCCCTACCTTGCCTGTGCTCTCAGGCAGAACTGGTTGCTCCTGGGGGCTCTGTTGAAATTAAGGCTAACATTGGCACCTTTCATTACTCCATGGAAATGTGACTTCCTTGAGATTGGAGGCTGTTTCTTGTTCATGTCTGTATCCTCAGTGCTTTTTAGAGTTCTCAACACCAGAAAGCGCAGAACTAACTTTGTCTGCTCTAACTATAGGGCAGAAACCTTTCAGTTGTCCAAATTTTGGTTGATGGTAGTATTTGTTAAGATGGGATGTGTTTTCTTTCTAACACATGCTCTGAATTTTTGGCTTTATATATTTTTCCTACAATCTGAGGGTGAATATGGGGAGTCTATATTGCTTGCAAAAAAGTTGTACTTCCAATCAGCAATGTCTTCCTCTTGAGTAGAATCTAAGACTTTGGCATCTTGTCACATAGGTGAAGGGAGAGAGACTGACATATGCCTCAGAAAGCCCATGTAGGTTGAGAAAAGGGGAGAATGAGATCCAAAGGGTAAACTGTTGTCTTTAGTACAAAATGATGTTTCTTAACATTGGGTGTGTCGGCCAAAGCTGCCTTCAGGCAGGTTTTACTTGTGTAACCTGAATATATTCAGAAACTAAAGTTTGGAATGACCTTAGATTCAAAGGCAGGTATTTTTATGTGAAAAAACTCTTTAGTCCAATCATTAGATCAATCATCCATTTTCTAAAGGTTCCAGGTATATTATTCTTTCTGCTTTCTTTTAACTATAATAGAAGAAAATGAGAGCTCTGAATTTATCTAGCTCCTCTTAGTTCTTTGCATTTTAAGCATTTTCTTAAAATTAAAAAAAATGAATCCACATAATTTGTATAAAAATTTAAAATTTAAGTCAGCAAAACACACCCAATCACCCATAATATTGATACCTGAATATAACCACTGTTAACATATTTAATGGCTCATTTACTTACAAATATTTCTTGGCATATAAACTTTATTTCCAGAGATTTTGTTGCACCTATATACCCACATCCACACATTTTTCTTTACATAAATGTGGTCATAATATCCTTATTATATTGTTAGTACTTAGTGTACTATTTGCACACTTCTCTCCTGGCCTTTCTGTTATATGGATTACCAGAATTTACTTAACCAGTTCATTATTGTTAGATATTTAGGCTTTTTCTAAAGTTTTGTTATTATAATCCACATGCTCTTAGCCTAAGATGCATCCCTTGGCCTTTCCTGTACTTGCGGTATCACCGTGATCATGCACCTGCCATGGGCACTGAGGCAGCATTTAACGCAGTGGTATTTGTCTAGAAGCCTATACCACATGCATGGCTGATGACAGTCACCAACATCAGCCGTGGTCATATTATGATGCAAGTGAGGGCAGGGATTTGATGGCTACCGAAAAAAAACCACCAGCTCTTCTTCACTGGGCAAGTGGAGGTTACAATGTCACTTAACCTCTGTGGGTTTCATTTTCTTCATCAGGCAAACCAGGGGTTAGATGAGATTATCTCTAGTCCTCCTTCTAGAAATAAAGTTCTATAATTCTCTGCACTCTACATTTCTCTGAATAGTCAGCAGCTTCATGAGTGGGAGGAAGCTGTGTTTGGGGTAGCAGATATATCAGTAATTTCCTAAAATCTGGTTTACAGCTGACCTTGAATCCAAAAGACATGTGATAATCCCCTGATTTATGCTTTTCTAGCCTTTCCAATGATTATATAATCACCGAGTTTCCCGTATTAAATCCCTTTCTGCTGAAAATACCTGGAGTGGTTTCTGTTTCCTACATTACATCCAGGGACAGAGAGACTTTCAGCCTGCTGCACAGATACTTCTGAAGGCCATCTCTGTGAGTTGGAATGGCTCTCTTTGGGCACAAATACAAATTCATTGCTTTTCAGAGCAAAATGTCAGTTTTTCTACATCAGATTTTTGTTGGGAAATTAAAACCTTGAATGCATGCTATCCAGCAGTTATTAAAAATCAATTCCCAAGATATCTAAGATATCTCAGAAAGATATCATCATAACTCTTCCTTTCTCTGAATCCTTTAACCTCTATCCTGCAACATACAGTAATTTCAATTGAAGGTATAAGTTAAATAAAGGTTTTTCAAATGACCCTTATATAAGAATCTGAGTGACCAATTTCTACTAGCATTTACTGTCAGAAAAGCATTGTTTCTCTTGGTAATCTTGATAATAAGAATAATATAACCCATTTTATTTCCCTTATTTTGCTCTGATTCTCAAAAGCTCAGTGTCAAATTAGAAATTAATCATATCACTCTTCTTGGCAAAATTATTTTTATTTTCTTTCTTATTGGTTTCTGATACTATATCTCTATTTTAACTGCTGTATGATTAAGAAATGTATATGTGGAATTAACTTAGAAATAAGGAATAAGGGATATCTGTATAATATGTCCCTGCTTTGTATTAGTAACTGCTGTTAGCCTCAGTGCTGTTTTCTATGTAAAGTCTAACAATATTATTTTATATTAGAGATCCGGTGCATGAAATTTGTGCACGAGTTGGGGGGGGGGGCGGGCCCTCAGCCTGGCCTGCACCCTCTCACAATCCAGGACCGCTGGCTCCTAACCACTCACCTGCCTGCCTGATCGCCCCTAACCACTCTGCCTGCCTGTCTGATGCCCCTAACTGCTCGCCTGCCTGCCTGATCGCCCCTAACCACTTGCCTGCCTGCCTGCCTGATTGCCCTTAACCTCTCGCCTGTCTGCCTGATCTCCCCTAACCCTTCTGTCTGCCTGCCTGATCACCCCTAACCACTTGCCTGCCTGCCTGATTGCCCCTAACCACTCGCCTGCCTGCCTGATTGTCCCTAACCACTCTGCCTGCCTGCCTGATCATCCCAATGCCTGCCTGATTGCCCCTAACTGCTTGCCTGCCTGCCTGCCTGATCATCCCTAACTGCTCGCCTGGCTGACTAATTGCCCCTAACCATCTCTGCCTGCCTAATCGCCCCTAACCACTTGTCTGCCTGCCTGATAGCCCCTAACCACTCGCCTGCCTGCCTGATCATCCCTAACCACTCTGCATGCCTGATTGCCCCAATGCCTGCCTGATTGCCCCTAACTGCCTCTGCCTGCCTGACTCATCACCCCTAACCACTCGTCTGCCTGCCTGATTGCCCCTAACCACCTCTGCCTCGGCCCCCACTGCCAAAGCTTCATCCAGAAAGACATCTGGAATGACGTCCAGAAGGTTGTTCGGCTGTCCGGTCTAATTAGCATATTACGCTTTTATTATTATAGACTAGGGGCCCAGTGCACGAATCTGTGCACCTTGAAAGGAACTGTGGGCCATGAGGCTGCAGTAAGCACAGGGGCAGGTCTTGGCCCATCCCCTGCCTGGCCCCTCCCACCATGCCCCCAGTCCCCTGTCTGCTGGCAGCCCCGCTCCCACTGCTGCCGATCCCATGCACTGATGGCACTGGCCCTGCTGGCACCCGCTGATGCCACCGAGTGATTGGGACCGGCGCCAGGCACCAGCAGCGGGTGCGAGTGGCAGCTCCCGTGGCATGCGAGAGCAAAGAATTTTCAGTAACCACCAGAGGCTCGTCCCCATGACAGCGACTGGCACCTAGCCTTGGTCTGGTGCCCCTGCTCACGTGCTCCACCATCCTGCCGCAGTCAATGCCCGCCATGTTCTGCACACGCCCCCGGCTGGTCAGCACACGTTACAGCGACCGGTTGTTCAGTTGTTTGGTTGTTCTGCCCATTTGGTCTATTTGCATATTAGCCTTTTATTATATAGGATTTCCTAGAAATTGATGCAAAAACTTCTTGGTGTGTCTTATACGTGAAATCAGAGCTCCAAGGAACTCCTTTGAAAAACAATTATCTTCTCAATGCTTTACAGTGCTTTAGTTCTAAAGCTGCTTCAAAAAAAAAATGTGAGCCAGAGGAAAACAAAGAAGAGTATTCTAAAGAGCAAAGAGTTAACTTTAAAAGTGAGTAAAAAAATGAAACAAAAATCCCTCTCAGCTTTTTTTCTTTCTAATATTCTCCTCACACAATTTCCTGTTAGTCTCCCTGACTTTTCTGAGAGATATTATTTTCCTTTCCAGTACCAATTTCAGCA